AAGAAAACAGAAGTACTGATACACTGTAGAAATTGTCCCAATGAGTTTATAATCCAGTGAGAGTTACACGGTACTGATAAGTAAAGGAAGTTCAACCAGACAGTTTAATCCTCCAATTTCCTGTCTTCTAATCAGCCACTGACTCCTCTGGCTTTAAATTAGAAACATTCATGGCAATATTCAGGACAGGTGAAGTAAAAAGAGTAGAAAACAACTAGGACAAATACTTATAGGCGAAAGGAGGCCATGTGCAGAAAATAAAGATACTATAAAGTATATGTATAATGATGCACTGAAGCATTTAAATTATAAACAGAATTTAGGAACTCTGACAGAGAAGGAATAATTTTATTAAAAATATTTATACAGCAGCTGAGCAGTGTATGAACATATGAGAGTTACTGTGTAAAACAAAGGAAATCCATGCAATGTTACACTCTGTTCACACTTCATTATTCTTCATTATTTTTACAGGGGTAGGAGCAGGATAATTATTAATACATATATGCTTTTTGATTCATAGTAAATCATAAGTCAGAAGCACAGACCAGCAAAGCCACGGATGGTTCAACAGCAAGTGAGGATTACCATGATAAACTTGGATGAGAGTATGTACAGATACGATCAGTGATTTAAACAAAAAAATACTAGTTTTGAGTATTTTGGCAGTAACAATTACTTTTTCATACGATGAAATTAAATGTTTATTAGATACGCCATTCTTTTTAAGCTCATTTACAATGAGATTTATAGAGGATTCTGTTAGTTCTTAATTGATGGAAATTATAGTACCTTTTAAAATTCTCATTTTTTTTTTTATTGCATAAATTATCAAGCAATATTAGCTATTCCTCTGAAAAAAACAGAGCACAGAGGTGGGAAAGAAAGCAGTTACCAACAGCTCCAGTGCAAAAATGATGTTGAGTTAAAAACCTTTATAGTAACAAAATGACCACTTCAAGTTCAGTCTATTTTTAATAAATTCTCTTTTTATTTCTGGCATCTAAAGAAAATAAAGACATTTACACTGAACTATGGATAATAAAAGTAGAAAACCAATTATTTTGGAAAATGACTGAAAGCTCTGCTTTGACTGTCGCACTAAATAAGAGCAGTTTGCCTGCTAACTCATACATGGAGTCATTGGAAATGGTTCTTATTTATTAATGAGGCTTTTTATATTTCTTCAGATGTTTCACAGAGGGAACACTTTGGGGCTTTGAAACTGTTTGGACTGAGAGAACTCAAATTATGGGTCCAAGTTGGCTCTCAGTCCCTCAGGTGAGTAAACCTGGAGTCATTCCACTCCTCCCAGCACAGCCACTCCAGGCGGATGGCAGCGTAAACCTTGAGCAGAATTTGGCCCAATTTGGGGTCTTTAGTTTTGTATTGTCATGGAGAATTTTCCTCTAGTATATACCTTTGCTGCACATGTATTTCAATAACCCCATGCAAAGGAATTTTGCAGACAATCCCTTATTAAACATATTATAGTCACATCATACTGGCTTTGCTAGAGCAAATAATATAAAAAAAAATAATCAGCTTGAAATAAATGTTTATAAAAGTAGCACAGCTGCACATATTTGTTACAAATGCAAGACAGTACTGAAACTTTTCTATGACTAACCCTTTAGTGTCTCTATGACAGCAGCAAATTTAAAGTGTGAATGATAACAAAATAATTATCATTTTTCCAGCAAATTCATCTCATATCTTCAGGCTGCTATACCAGTTAAATTATTTGCTATTATATCTATATTTAAAAATTAAATATAATTTATTTCTATGCAAATTTATAGCATTTGGGAGAAATTTTCTGCTAAAATGTCACATTACAACATAGCCAAAATAATACTGTTTCTGCATTTACTTGATTAAAGCATAAAAAAGTAGATTAGGTGTAAGATTGCCTTGAACAGTGGTGACAAATGCAATTATTGCTAAAATGTACAAATCCTGTGGGCTCTGCTGAAATGTTTGAAACATTTACAACTGTCTACAAGAAAGAAAAATAACGCTTTCCTTTTACTCTGACCTCTTGTTATTTTGGCAAGTAAGATAAAATATATTAGCCATTCCATCAGATGGCTGGAGAGAAAAACTAGCTGTGATGAGGAAAAACGAATTAAAGGAGCATTAATAAAGATTATCTATGAAAGAAAATAAGGTCAAAATTAGAACTCTGCATTTTAAAGCCACCTTTCAGAATTGCAAGCTGCTTTGCCCAATGCTAAAATCCATTCATTTTCCTAATCATGCAATCAACCATTATCTCCAGAGCTGGCTATAAACATGCTATAGACTGGGGTGAAAGAGGGAGAGTGTGAGGTTGAGAGACAGAAAGAGGGAAAAAAAGAAAGAAAGAGAGAGAGATTACTACACCCAGCCTTTTATAAAGCCGTTTCTTTCATTATAACAGGTCCTTTCATCCAAATGACACAGAACCTTTAAATTTGGGCATAATACTCCAGTACAGTACACAGCTAGAGCTTCAAATGGATTTAGAACCTGCTCCAGAAAGAAAACAAACTCCCTCGCTTGACACACAAATTGTTTACGATTCATTAAAAAGCAAAATTGCATATCCCAGTGCTGGCAGCTGAGTCCATATGGGTGCAAGGGGTATTCACTCATCTCTTTGTATGCTGGCAGTACCAAACCGAAGTTTAGCACTGTGCAGCTGAGATTTTGTGCAGCCAGACGATGCATGAGGTAATTTTCAAAGCTTTATTTGTCTTTAAAACATTAAAATCTGCTCTCTAGTTTACTTTTGATTAAAAGAACGTGGCAAATGGGATGAGGTTTGGGGGGTAAGAAAAAATATATCTACTTTTTGTTGTACGTTTTAGATTAGTAGCGTATGAAAGCCTGCTTATTACTCCATCAATAATTGAAACTTTGTATGAAAATTATTTGCAATTAACACATCTATTGTAAAGATCTTGAATTATTCATTTCAGCTAAAAATAACATCTCTTTCATCTAGCACAAGTTCAACAAAAAAGAGGCTATTTTAGTGATTTTTTTGTGTTAGAAAATAAATGGTGTGACGTTCAAGTTTAAGGAGAACTTTCTGCAATGTTTAATCTAAACAACAGCATGTGTGGTTATAAAACTGTTTATTTTTAGGCAAGTGCATTACTAAATGTTTCCAGGATTTTTGCATATTATATTCACAGTACTAAAACATCTGTGAAATAGATGTGACTGAAATGAAACTTCCTCGGACACTTTCTACAGAGGGATAATAACTGCCTAGTAACATTTGAGGATACTTATTAAAGAATAAACACGGACATATCTCTTCATAAAAGCAGCCGATAGACAATAAAAGAGGAGTGGTAATAAAATATACAAATGGCTTAGAATAAGGCAAAATCATAGCATGATATAAATCTTTGTGGCTAAAACAGGTATTTGAAAAACTTTGCTTTGAAAATGATAAGTAAAAATCAATAGTCTTATTTACAAGAGTTTAACAAGCTAAAAAAAAAAGTCACATGAATAATCAACAGTTTATGTGCATGCAAATACCCCTTCCCCCTCCAACTTCTCCTGGCAGAAAGTCTAATTGGAAAATCAGTACTATAAGTAAAGTGGTTACCCTTCCTTATTCCCATTAACCAAACACTGCATGTTACATTTCACTGGCAACCGCTGGCAAACTTCTAAGAGACGCTTAAAAAAATTAAGAGTTTAGACAAAACAAAACGGAAAACCCGGAGCCCAAACACCTTTAAATACAAGCCACATGATATACACAATGGCCACCACCAAGCTGCAGAATAAAAACCTTCCGGATCTCACTTTTTAAAGTCTTTCAAGTCCTCTGAGGTCTTAAACTTTCCAAATGATACCAAAATTGGTCCGGGGCGGCGAGGGGGAGGGAAAGCCCCCGACTTGTTTCAGCGTATCATACAATGAAAGTGATCATGCCTTGTTTTGTAATTCCACTCGCCAGTCCTTTTTTAACTGATATCTATGTGAAATGAGCTGAGGTTCACGGTCCAGTTAGGAGCGGATAATACATTCATTGTCCTGGCAGCAAACTTTTCCTCTCACTGGAAGAATTCACGCTTGCCACAAGAATAATAATTACAGAAAACTAAAAATGCGCTGCTAACGAATTAATCCCTAACGGACAACACGCTAACGAGGGCAGTAATGATTTGAGGACTCTCTTCCTCACAACAGGACTTGCATCTTCTGCTACAATGGGCTATTGTGCATCCTCCTAACTCACTATACCTCTTATAGATTCAAGATGTCAAAGGTTGTCTGGCCCGGCTGACCATGACATGCTAGTTAACTCGTTCTACGGAGCACGTTGGGACTTTATTGAAACTTTAATTGCGCCCAAAAGCAGCTAGAGCCAGACTATGTGGGATCTGTAACACATGGCTCCAGGTCAGCACAGCCCGGGAACCTGTTCTAACACAAACAAGCAGAGGGAAAAGTTAGATCGGGGTCTCGGCTGAAAGGCAGCACCTCGCAAACCGCGCTCCTCTCACACGTGATGATTTTACACCACGCCACGACCGCACCGTCCCAGGCTTTTACAGTGAGCGACTTGCCGGGTAACGGACTGAACTTTCCACCTCCCCTCTCTACAAAATATTGCATGGTAAAAAATGCACGCGCACACGGACACTGGAAAGCAGCAGATAAAGTAAAACAAACTGAGCGCTAGGCAGCCGACTGAGACAAGTTACTCTGCACAACAAGGCTTTTTCAAACTACTTCTTTGCATACTTTTTTTTTTTTTTTTCCTTAAGGAGAATTGAAAAAGCTTCCCTCTGGAAACTGTAGTGCACATTAACGATCTCCTGTTACACAGGGGAAAGCACACAAGTGGGGCAAGTGTGAGGCTGCTCTACTGAAGAGTGTGAAAAAAATCAAATGTTAATTTGATAAATGTGAGGTCTGGGACATTTTGTCAAAGAGGGAGGGAAAGTAGAAAAGGGAGAAAAAAAAAAGCAGCCCTGCTGCCAACTCACCATCCACCAAGTTCTGGCCGAGATGTCGTAGCAGAGCTGCCATTTGATGGAGCCGTCGGAGGTTTTCCCTGCCATTATGCTGTCAGCAAGCTTCATCTGATGCTAACTCACGGGAGATAAGACACCTAATTGAGAAAACATTTGCACTGGCATGTTGGGCAACATGTAGCCCGGTCCATACCATATGGAATCATGGGTAAAAAAAAAAAAATCTCCTTGACAATGAACCAATCTCTCACAGACCCAGTGGCAAGGTGAAGTGGAGATGAAAAGTCATCTGCTCCTAGCACTGTCTTCTCCTCTCTCTCTCTCTCCCTCTCTCTCCCCCTCTCTCACTCACTCTTTTTTTTTTTTTTAAATAAGAACCCACTGCTCAACATCAAAGAGAGGCGGTCAAAATTAGGGCTTCATCACTCAGATGATTTTGGTCTGCAAGGTTTTTCTTTCCTTTCCTCTTTTTCTTTTTTATGAAGAATAAAGAGATTTAATAGGACAAAGGCAGGTAGTGGACTGTGGAGGGAGATCGCCACAGGCTATTAGCCTAAAATTTCTGCTTGACAGATGGAACTGCTTAGAGACTATCATGCAATGTTTTGGGTGTTTTTTTTTTTTTTTAAAGACTTTCAGTCTGATTCACTATCTGTTTATCGCAGCTACTTTTCTCATGTACGTGACCGGGAGGGGGAAAAAAAGACTGGGAAAAAAAAGAAAAAGATCGCGTCTCTCTTTCTTTATTTCATAATTGTGCATATAATCATTTAAGCAGTGAAAGGCACAACAAAAGTATAAACTGCTCCAGTTAATTTCTCAACCCAGTGACAGATGCTTTCTGAAGGAATCAAATGCTCTTTCATTTTTTTAAGATGTTAAAGTTTTGGCTCTTTGTTCCTTCTTGATTTTAGATATCAGGTCATATTGTATAAATGAATGACTTTTCATATAAAGGTTCAAAGTGTCCCCTAAGAACTGAACAATTCCCTTTATATATATATATTTTTCCTAATATAATTTTGCTGCCATATTTTTAAAATCTGTTTTTTAATGTTGCACTTTCTAATACGATCAGGTGACAACAACCAAACTCACCGAGGTTTGTTTTTTCTTCACGCAAAACTTCTCTGCAACACTCAAAATTTACATGAGGAATTGACAGATAACTTAGGAAGAGATAACTCCAAAATAAAAAATTTCCAAAAGTTATGAAATTCTGTTGTTGTCGTCTAATATTAAAATCCATTTCCTGGATAGCAAAGTCAAAGATAGTAATAGATTTTTTCCCAATTTCCCACTTCTTCTGGAACACTGTAAGCCCAACAGAAGTATTACGTTTATGACAGCTGACTATTAAGCAGGCAGTGAATGCTTTCCATTTAAATCACCCCGCTGTGTCACACGGAGCGACAGTTGCTGGGCTGTGACCACCACCCCTCACTGACAGGGCACTCCAGCCTATACAGTAGTGCCTTTCCTCAAGAGCTCAGAAAAATGAACTTCTGAACTGGCAAACGGACTATTGCCAGGAATATTTCTTAGGGCTGTGGATCTATGGCTTATACAACTTGCTCACTCAGAAACAGCTACACCCTGCAAATCTTTTTGTGATTTGGATGCAAGAGGAAAATGTATCAAAACCATCCACTTGATTTTAAACAATATCCTTTTCTGTTTGTATCAAAAAAGGGAGTTCGTGGGCACACAATTCTTCCTTGGATTGTTTTGTGTACTAACTGTTGTTTAACTGTTTGGCTACAGCAAAATCATCAGTCTGGGCTGCACAGATTACAGAACTGCCATTCAGTGCAGGACAGGACAAACTTTCATTGAGCTTCAATAATACCTTCACATTTCTGAGATGTGCGAGAGGATAAGCAAATGATTTAGGGTAGGTACAAACTGCTAATGTAACATGTAGGGACTAGGGGTTTGGGTTTATTTTCCCCAGCCTTGCAATCTGTTTGGACTATATGAAAAATATATTAATGAATGATCTATGCAACTACTCAGCACACCAGTTTGCACTTCTAGCTTCAGATAGCAGGTATAATCCCACTGCAGTTTACAGGAAAGGGTCTGACTAGCATGGGAAGTGTTAACTTTTATTTCGAGTCCAGAAAAAAAAAAAGATGGACACTGTGCCAGGAACTGTCTTTGCTCTGGCTAGGCAAAGCATTCGTCATCTTCTGTTACTGCAGGTTTGTTACCTGTCCTTTCAGTGGGTCGCAGCTTATTGAAAAAACCTCCCTCCAAATAATCACACAAAATATAAAGCAAAACACTCAGTAACAATCAGTCCTTGAATCAGTGTCAGATTCAATTTTATGCTGCTCTCCTGCTCCTACCCATCAACATACCCACCCGGCTTATTATTTATTTAGTATTTCATGCCCAGTTGTGCTGCACATCATTCCAGACAAGTTCTGATAAATCTCTATTCTATATGGACTTCCAGCACCTGGTGTAGTTATAGAGCTACTGACAAACTTTCTGCATTGCTCTATTAACCACTTCTTCCTATAAGAATATATGTCTTTACCTCCCACTAATAATTATAAACACAGCAATTAAATATTTTTTTACATCATACACTTTTCAGATTATGAATGACAGAAGCATGAAACCATTTCCTTCCTGACAGTGGAGTGGTTATGTGCAAAGAAATGAGGAGTGCTGTTGGTTAACAGCATTTTAAATTCAGAACAATTAGGTGCAGTTAACTTTGCCATTGTTCTTTCTGATGCTGGGGATGGTGAGTTCTTACCCGTAGAGCAATTACTCCTTTCATAAGCGGCTGTTGTTAATAGCATTAAAACAAGATTAAATACAACATGTTAAATATTGCAATTATTGTGGAAAATAAAATTATTTGGTGAGCATAATGGGGAGCAAATCAAGCATTTAACATGATCCAGGAAATGCTACTCCAAACAATTGCATTTGTTTTATGCAATTTTTCCCCTTTGATTGCTGACAGATGCCGTTTTGGAAACAAACATCTAAGTAGTTTTCCTTCAATCAGGAAAAAAAACCACACACCAGAAAATGGCTACATGTTTTGAATTTAACTCTTGTCAATCAGCATTCTGCACAACACTCTCTGTGAATAGTACTGGGACAAAACGATGCCTTCCAAAGACTAATAAGCCACAAAGATGTTTGCTTCTAAATCAGATCTGTTCTGAAGAAGGGAAAAGCCTTCGTGCAGCATTGACATTTGTGCAGACACAGCTGCAAAATAAAAATGCTTGCAATACAGGAGTGATATTTCACATTGAAAATAAGTTAGGTGTATATGCTTGTGGGCTACAGGAGAAGAGATTTGTTTTCTGACAGCTTCAGGCCTCAAGCAATGGATTGAAGTACTTGCCAGTTTCTTTCTGACTTCCTGCTGAAGAAGTGGCCAACTATCCACAAATAATTGGCTTAATTGTAGAGCAGAGGTACCTGCAACAGTTCAAACAGTGTGAGTGGGCCCCTCTACCTCCCCTCAGAAGCGCATTTGGATGGGATACTGTATATGGAACCAGGAACAAATGCTAAAAAAGGCTAATAAAGTATATTAATTCAGATGACTGTTTTAAGCTGGCATTTTACAGTCTACTGGAAACCGAACGCATGAGAGCATTAGAAATGTTGGCATAGCGGGTGGTTTCTCCAAATGTTGGCTTCTGCTATTCAAATTGGTAAAAGAAATGTGGTAGAACTGTGTGCAGCTCCCAGCGCCAGACACATCTTTAGGATCTTAGTCCTCATCACTAGATTATCTATTAATTGCACAGTACCCATTGCTCATTAACCTTCTCTTTATTCCCTTTGCCTCCCCCTATTTCTCCAGTTGCAATTGCTCAGAACCTTTTCAGCTGATTGCACCAGTGTGATTTTAGATCTGTTCCTAATTTGGGAGGCGTTTTTCTTGGGAAGCCTGAACTTAGACGAGTTACGAAGAGGATTTCCTTATCTCGAACAGTGACAATTAGTTCAAGAGCCACGTGAGAGCAGGCAGTTGATTTTTGGACAGCCTCTGAACTGATGCAAAGTTGCTGACAACGAGTGTGTTCTAGCTTTTGGAAATCCTATAATCCTGGCTTCAATCAAGAGGATCTGCTGTTGCTGAAGGCGTAAACAAGGAGAGAAGCAGCATGTGACCACGGCTGCTGCACCTTCAAGGACTCCCGAGCCAAATGAGTGCAATGGTAAAGTTTCTACTGGTTGCTCAACGTTACACACATATTTTGGATGATATTTCTGAACCCAGGGAAAATAGTCCTTTCCCCTCTGCAGGAAAAGTTGGTTTTGGACTCTGCATTTCCCCCTGTAGCTCTGTTGTGTGTATTCCTCCCCACTCCCTTCTCACTCCTCTGATTTTCTTCCTACCGTCTGTATTCCCCTTTTGCCTCATCTGAAACAAGCATCAAGATCTTGTTTCTGACAGAACGGTCTGTCAATATAGAAACACACTGACATCACAGACAGTGCTGTGACTTCATGTCTGAAAGAAACAGGAGGAACAGATGAAAGGAGTGAAGGGGAAGGAATGACACATACAAACATTTTTTAAAAAGAAGTAAAAATTCTTCTCTATCAACCCAAAATGTAAAGGAACATAAACCAGATTTATTTTTAAGTATAAATATAACCCACTGTTTCCTAATCTGTGACCATAACTCAGTACAACATTTCAACATGCTCTTCACCTAAGAGAGGTCCCTGTCCCCCAGGAGCACGTGCTTGGTTGGCTCAAGGCCCATGTGACAGCCAACATGACCTCAAGAAGGACTGAACAGGGACTAATCTGGGAAAAATCTAATATCATGTATATATTGGAAGAAATCTTCAGAAACAAGGGGCTAATCTACACCATCTAAGTAAATGCAAATTAATAGAATTATAAATAAAAGCAATCATCAAATCATAAACTCTATTTGGATTCAGCTAGATCAAAGATATCACTGCCTGCTGGGGTGGGGATACATGACATACCCAGAAAATACTGAGCACACAGGGGTGGAATATCACCTTACTATTACTATGTTTTTTCTTCCTAGTATGAAATATTAACAAAAGTGTCTAACCAATATTTCTATTATTAGCAGGTTGTTTTGCATAAGAATTTAGGAGAAGTTAGAAC